CCTCCTCCTCCTCCTGCTCCTCCTCCTGCTCCTGCTCCTGCTCCTGCTCCTATAATAATCGATCTGCTCTTTGTTTCAAATAGATAGGGCAACAATCTTCTATTTTCGAGATAAAAGCCACATCCTAGGCTTTACCTGTACCTTTATGGAAGAATCACTTACCTCAGGTGTAGTCTGCAACCTCTCCTAGGGCATTTCACAGGAACGTTCCCCTGTTGAGAAAATAATGCCCTGAATTTAAATAAAATTGTTATGGTCCTTGCAAAGCTCAGGTAACGAATCGCCTGTATCAATCAAATTTCTCGTCTCAGTTTCGTTTGGTTTTTAGTAAGCTTTTTTTCCTCAAAGGAAAATAACCTATAGAAAATTTTTACACGTTCATGGTAATGTAAAATATATTACTTACCAACTAAGAACACTAACATTACCACAACTGACATCATACACAGTTATGAACGAATTTAATTTAGATTTACGTTGTTTACGAAATTGCCTTGTGATAGTGCAAACTTCACCTAGTAGAGTAATTGTCTTACCTGAACACTTTCAACTGTAGGACAATCGCTACGGGCACGATTTAGGTCCGGAACTATTGCTTCGTCCCTGTAAGTGAATGATTTTACATCAGAACAATCGTTTTAGTCAACCCAAACATGTCCTAGACAAAGACCGCCTCATCTGATTCCTCTACCTCACATATTCTTGGTATTTTAAAAAATGAAGTAAACGAAGCAAAACAAACAAACAAAAAATAAAATAAACCAGCAAACAAATGGTTTCCTAATCACTGATTTTACCTCTTCCTATTGCAGTATGTATGGGAAAAATTAAATTGTAATTGTTTGTGAATCAAGGTTGACGCCCAAAAGCCATTGTAGGCTCAATCAATCAGAATTTTTACAAAGTGTATGATCATGTACTGCCGTAATACAATAAGTATTAAGCTGTGGCCTGATGTACATTTTCAATGGAAGCACCCACCTTAATGAACATTTCATTATTGACATAGTGTAGCTCTGAGATTTCGATGCCAAACCAAACCCTATCTATTAGGCTGAATTCGTTCTTTCTGCTAAGTTTCTAAAACATCTGGTGACATTGCAAGGAAAAATTACTCACTGGTCACTCCTGGCTTTGAAAGAGTTAATCTACAATGATTTTTTTCTTTGCATTATTTATTCTGGTTAGGTTAAATCCATCTTACAACGTTACTATTGTTACTCTCTGATCAATACCAATTTTGAATTGGGTGGACAGAAGTTACACTGCCTCTGCATATACAAGGCAATTGAATAAAGATAAAAATAATTAAAGTAACACTTAAGACTCGTAAAATTTGTAGTCACCTATGTAGCAATTGTTTAGGATGTCACGTTTCTGCCCCTCCCCAAAATATTTTTCTTGTGAAGAAACATTTTATAATATCCTTTAGAAAGGGTGCGAAGAAAAACTAACACTTATTGAAAATGATGTTGTGCTGTAGCTCTTACCTTATAATGACCATGTAGGCCAGATCTGTGTCAGAGACCTAAAATTCAAAACAAAATAATTATCAATGATCCTTGAATATTTTGATGAACTGGAAAATATTAAATTCAAACCATATTCCCTTCTTACCACCTTTGATGTCAAAAGCTAACTTACCTAGAATTGTATCATTATTTAATACTTTAATATAATATTTTTCTCGTCAGCTTATTTGTTGCAGCTAGATTTTCCCAAATAAGACCAAAACTCTTCTTGTAAGTTAGACCTGTTGTTTTATCCCTTTAACACCTAAGATCTCATTAGTAATTCTCCTTACTGTCTGCCATATAGT